TCCCCTCCCGTCGGTTGTCCTGGTCGAGGAGTCGGCTGACTCTGGTGGCCTTGCGGTGCAGTTCTCGCCGCATGCCTCTCCTCCGGTGTGTCCTCCTCTGCCGTCGCAGCAGCCGCCGAAGTCGCTGCTATCGCCGCAGCCGCAGCAGCAGCGCCCGTCCGCGGACTCTAGGGGTGCTGGCGTTGAGGAGGGTGCTAGTCCTGGGGTTCCTGTCGTGGCTTGTCCCGGCGGGCTTGGGTGGCACCGGTGCTGGAGAGGGTTCTCGCTCTGGGGGTGCTCGTTCTGGGAGTGCTGGAGTGGAGTGTTCCGGAGGTAGCCAAAGGTACAGCTGGCGGTCCAGGTATCGGCGTCGAGCACCAGCAACAGCAGTCGTCGCCGGTGCCCGCCCTTCGCCTGCTCAACCTTCCCTCCCCTGACTGCTTGCCTATGCCTCCCTCGGCCCCTCCTCTTCCTGTGTACGGCCCTGTGTTCCCTCTGCCGGACTCGTCTTCGGCTCGTCTTCCCCCTCGTTCCCCTCTTGTGTCTCCTCCTCTGTCTCCTGACCCGACGCCTCTGTCTTACATCTGGTCTCGCCGTCCTTCTCATGCTCGTCCTGTCTCTCCTGCTCAGCAATCTCACCCAATGTTGCTTCGTTCCCATATTTCTCGTCCTCCTCTCCTCCCGTCACCTCCTCCGTCCTCGCTTGTTGTCGCGCCTCCCCCAATGTCTGACTATCTTTGTGCGCTCGTCCTCTTGTTCCTCGGGTCCATGCCTCCCTTGTTACCGACCCGTCTGTTCCTGTCTCTAGTCTTGACGCTCTTGTTACTGACTTCGCCTCTACCCACCGCCTTGACTACGCCACAGCACTGGTCTCTGACCCTGACTGCCCTTCGTCCGTCGTGGGTGCTCCTGCCCTTGGCAGTGACGTCCTAGAGGACAGGCAGTACGAGCTTGCTTTCCTGTCTGAGGCTGCTCCCCATCTCTGTTTCATGCTGCTAGTCCCTGACAGTAACCCAGACGTCTTTGACATCCCGACCCCTCGCACTTACGCTGAAGCGACCTCGGGACCCTGAGCCTCTCAATGGATAGCTGCCATGGAGCAGGAGATAGCATCTTGGAGATCCACCGGCACCTACATCGACGCAGTTCCCCTACCTGGGGTGAACGTAGTCGATGGTCGGTAGCTCTTCAAGGTGAAGTGTCCCCCTGGAGAGCCGCCTAGGTTCAAGGCACACTACATGGCTAGGGGCTTCAGTCAGTGCGAGGGTGTGGACTTCTTTCACACCTTCGCCCCGACCCCGAAGATGACTACTCTTTGGACGCTGCAACATATAGCACCACATTGTGAATACGAGCTCCACTCCCTCGACTTCACCACTGCGTTTCTTCAGGGCAGCCTACAACAGCAGGTCTACTTGCGCCGCCCACAGGGCTTCACCGGTACCTTCCCTCCTGGGACCCAGTGGCTCCTTTGGCGCCCGGTCTATGGCCTCCGACATGCGCCTCGTGAGTGGCACGACAGTTTGCATGCTACGCTAGCTGACCTGCAATTCTTCTCGTCGTCTGCAGACCCCTCGCTCTTCGTTCGTGCTGGCCAAACTCCGTTCTACATCCTTGTCTACATAGACGACCTGGTCTTCGCTACTGCAGACAGAGACGCACTGGCTTCCATAAAGGCCAAGCTGCTGAAGAGACATACCTGAACTGACCTAGGAGAGCTGCGTCGCTACCTTAGCCTGCAGATCTCCAGGGACAGAGCAGCACGCACCATCACTCTCACACAGTCACACTTGGTGCGCCAGGTCCTTCAGAGGTTCGGTCTTCAGTTCTCCTCCGCACAACCCACGCCTCTGCCAGTAGACCACAGGCTCTCTGCTCCAGTTCCTGAGGAGTCAGTAGAGCCCAGTGGTCCTTATGCAGAGCTAGTGGATTGCCTCATATACCTCATGACTTGCACTCGCTCAGATCTTGCATACCCTCTCAGCATCCTGGCTCGCTTTGTGGCCACAAGTAGACACCGACCACAGCACTGGTCGGCCGATAAGAGGGTTTTGCGTTATCTAGCAAGTACATCGGGCATGGGGCTAGTGCTGGGAGGACGCAGGCCAGTGGTCCTTACTAGGCACACAGACGGTTCTTGGGCAGACGATGCTGAGACCCTCAGGTCCTCCCAGGGCTACTGCTTTAGCATTTGTTTTGGTGCCATCTCGTGGAGGTCCACCCGCTCGTCGTCTGTTGCACAGTCTAGCTATGAGGCTGAGATCTACGCCGGTGCCATGGCGGCACTGGAGCTCCGCTGGCTCACCTTCTTGCTCACTGACTTAGGTGAGCGGCCTAGCTTTGCCCCGGTTCTGTACGCTGATAATAGGGCCATGATCCTCTTGTGTCAGGAGCCTCGACTAGAGGGCAGAGCGAAGCACATCCAGCTATGGTACTTCCTCCTGCGCGAGCTACAGCAGCGCCGCCAGGCCCGCGTAGTACACTTGGCCTCCGATGCTCACACAGCTGATATCTTTACGAAGGCGCTTATGCTTAAAGGTCATCAGTGGCACTGTGTACAGCTTGGTCTAGTTCCAGTAGCTCCTCACTTGCTAGGAACCTGATTGTGTACTACTCGTATTATCTTGACTGGTCTTGTGGTTCGTTTTCCAGTGGCTGGACTAGTAGTTCCACCATGGTTTTACTCTTGTTTAGCTTGTAATCTTGCTGACTGGTCTTTAGACCTTTGTCTCGGAGGTTGGACTAGTAGTGCCACCCTGAGCTGTGTGTCTCTTACTAGGCACTGCCCCTTGTCTAGCCTAGGGGGTGTGTCAACTTATACATATTTGCAGATGTATAGTTATAGGCTAGAAGGGCTTGTGATCTTAGAGGGTACAACACCCAACCATATGTTCCTCTGTATCCGTCGATTCTAGTCATTCTGCTAATCTAACAGAGTTATCTTTTTAATGGAGAGTGGAATTGGTGCGTATTGGAGCAAGGGGGGTGTTGGAATTATGGGAATATCTAGGTTGCGCCAATAAACACACATATAGCTGATTGACTATACGTTTGGTAGTATAGAGTACTTCGGTTGGATTGGGAATGCTTCTAGAGGGTAAACTCCTAGATCCTTCAGGGCTGGTTGTGACTTGGTTGAAACACACTTCTTGGATTCGATGGTGCCTCCTAAGAATAAGTCATGTCCAACTTGGTTCCTAAGCATCCTTGAATCTAGGAGGAGGTTCTAAGGATACATTAGTCTCTTAGAACACTACAACAAAGAAAACTAGCACCGATTTCCAGCTGAAATACTAGTTAAGTTTTGTAGGATATGTTAATATTCTCTTCCAAATTACATGACTTGTTGAGATTGGAAGTAACCAATATCGGCTATTCCGAGGGGTTGACATTGATGGCTGGAAGGTTTGACAACGAGAGAAGCGCCGTAACGAGGACACTTTTTCCCACCCACCTCGATTTCACCTAGTACGGATCCTGTAGGTGAATTACTGAAGTTTGATTCTGTCCTAAGGGCGTGTCCAGCGCATTCATTTTGCCCCAACACGAGTTTTTGACATTTTTTTAACACGCCGAAATATTGAAACACCAAGTGTAAATGTGTTGAGGTACACCTACAGTATCAACAGCAAAACGCGAACATGTGTTCCGCCCGTGTCTCGACAAATGAGCGGGTGCGCAGCGCGCACATAACAGACTGGCACGCGAAAACATCAGGGTAACCGAATTCTGCCCCGGAAAGAGGCCCGCCCGGTGCTTCGCATGCGTCACGAAAGCATGGCGAATGTAAGCGTTCTATTTTTCGCCAGCCAGGTTTTGGACGTTCCTGCCGTCTGTACAATCTCCATTCGGTTCGGAAACATGCGGCCCACGTGTGTGGGCACGTTTGGAGGGTGTCCGCCAAAACCGTCAATTTCCCGTGTGTGTCCGAGTGGTCAGGAAATTTCGGGTTACCAGGTCGAAATTCCGTACCTGATATGCAAAGTGAATAGTATACGAACGAACTGGACACGCCCTAACCACTAGCCTCGAGATGCTCACGACCATGAGGTAGGCCCTTCATTTGCAGTATGACCCTCGAGATTTTGCCGCAGCCTCTAGAGCGGACATTATGGGCGAATTGTGTCGGGTAACCACCTCGTAATTCGTTTTCCTCGTCGGCGCTTCCTGACTTTCACGGTTACCAGATCCACATCATTGCGTGTTTTTGTCGCTGGCGGTTCCATGTCTCTCCCCGAGTATGTTTCACACGCCTGCTTCCCTTGGGAATCGCCCTTCGATCCTAGAGAGAGCGGCTTCGCGAACAGGAAATCACATTTTTTACGCGGGCAGGCACGCTGTCACAGAACTGGCAGCAAACACAACTGCTTAGGGTCAGCGGAAGACAAGGTTCTGGCGTCGTACTCCTGCCCCACAGGCCTCCGAGGAATTCATTTTCGTTCCTTCAGCAGATCTATTTCAGAGTCGGTGTGAAATGTTCAGGCTGGGCAGCTTCCGACTCTTCTGGAGCCGCTCGGGCAAAGGTGCAAAAGTCCATTCCTGCCCGTCGACTCTGTCTGTAACGCATACTAAATCTGCCTAGCGCAAGTGGCGCGACCTAGCTAGGGCGCCATAGCGTGACCTGCGCTAGGTCGCACGCATGAGAAAGTTGTGCTAGGGAAGGATGGGTTGGGTGTACAAATGTGGTTAACCACCCAATCCAAGGCAAATGTGGTTTGGACATTCCAACCCTTTATGTTGAGGCTTGGGAATTCCCAAGCCTACACATTGCCAACCAATGGTTGGATTTACAACCAACCACAGATTGACAGTTGGTGTTACAACCAACTCAATCCAACATTTTTTTCCACACACTTGCTCTCAAATGGGTAGCAACCCAACCTAAAATGCCACCTAAGCAACTCAACTCTAGGAGCTCCTCCACCTTGTTGCCATGGAGGATTTGGATCTCCCCAAGGGGTCTAGGAAGGGGTTGGGCTTTCACAAGCTCATTCTCCATTTCCCAACTCCAACAATCTAATTTGGAAATGGGATTTCTCTAAGCCTTGGAGCTCTCCTCACAGCTTCCCCTACACAACTCTCTCAAGGACTTCTTCACTCAAGCCTCTCCTTTGAAGACTTCACCAACAACCTCAAGGCTACCATAGGGATAAGCTAGGGTTATTATTAGATTGGAGAGCATTCCTTGCTTGGTCTAACCCTACTATAATAGTCTTGGTTGTTACACTGTCCCCCCTTCCGACAACCCCTCTAAGGATTCCTCGCTCTCTCCTCTGCCTGCTCTTCCCTCTGTCCGACGGAGTCTGTGTCTGGTACAAATCTGCAGTCCCATAATCCCATTTTCAGATTCCTGCAGCTTGTTCAGTTTGAGCAACTTTTCAGCAAACTCCAGTTCGCAGAGCGTCTACTTTCTGTCACTCTATGCTCACAGCTTTCGACTCGTCTCAGCTTTTGTTAGCTGTTTTCATGGCATCCTATGTCTACCCTTCGGTTTCTGAAGCCCGTCGCATGTGGGAACTCCAATGCGTGATCCAGAAGCAGGTTGTGCCGCTGAGCTCGTCAACTCGCAATTCAGCGAGTCCGTGCTTGGCTGCCAAGGAGACGAGCTCGCTGAACGAGGTCGTCCACAGCAGCACCTCCACGAACGTCGCTTCCATTAAGACACCCTTCTTGGAGACGAGTTCCGTGGTCTCCCTCAGCAGCACAGCAAGCAGCAGCAGTGGCTCCAGTGGCGTCAGTTGCAGCGGTGGCAGCAATGACGTCAGCTAGAACGGTGGCATCAGTGACGTCAGCTGCAGCACTGACAGCAACGAGGTCAGCTCCAGTGGTAACGACAAGGTCAGCAGCGCGGCTGACAGCAACTGCATCACTCCCCTGATCTCGTTCAGTGACGCGACCAGCATTGTAAGCGGCATCAGTTGCTGTGGTAACATTTCAAACGGGGTCAGCAGCATCGTCAGCAGCTGTGATGTTAGCAGCAACGGTGATGTGATGTCATCAGCTGGGGATACAATGGCGATCGCTGTTGTCAACTTGGCTTCAAGGACGGATGATTTTAGCTCATCAGCTGTGGAGACAATGGCGACTCCTGCTGTGAAGCTCACTGCAAGGACGTGTGACTCAGCGCGAACTAGCAAGTCCCTTGCAAGAAAGGCAGCAGCAAGTGCCAGCCTGCTACCATCCCTCATCCCCAAGCCACGACCAGCCAGAAAAGCAGCTACTGCAGCGGAAACATCATCAAATGTCGACCTTGTTGTGGTGGCGCATCCTGCAGCTACATTAGGTAGCAGAGCAAGGCAGCAGCAGAAGAGGAATGGCAGTGTGGGATGCAGAGGAAGGCAGTCCGCCAGGGCGACCAAGGCAGAAGCAACGAGGCCTCATTGGAGACCTTGAGACCTGCTGTATGGTCGCAGCAAGCAAGCACTGCGAGTTGGAGAGTGGATTGATGGGGGGAGAGAGCACAGAGCAGCAAAGCTACTGATGGACAAGAGGTGGGGTGTTGGGAATGCGGAGATACGAGAGGCGACCTTTTTTGCATCCTGCTGGAAAGGGTGTTTTAGGCTGGTTGGTGGTTTGTTGAGTGTGGTGTTTTAGGCTGGTTGGTGGTTTGTTGAGTGTGTTGTTTTAGGCTGGTTGGTGGTTTGTTGAGTGTGGTGTTTTAGGCTGGTTGGTGGTTTGTTGAGTGTGGTGTTTTAGGCTGGTTGGTGGTTTGTTGAGTGTGGTGTTTTAGGATGGTTGGTGGTTTGTTGAGTGTGGTGTTTTAGGTTGGTTGGTGGTTTGTTGAGTGTGGTGTTTTAGGCTGGTTGGTGGTTTGTTGAGTGGTGTTTTAGGCTGGTTGGTGGTTTGTTGAGTGTGGTGTTTTAGGCTGGTGGGTGGTTTGTTGAGTGTGGTGTTTTAGGCTGGTTGGATGATCTGGAACAGATGGCTGAAGCTGCTCATGTGCTCTTATCGAGACTGAAGGTTGTGTCAACTTAAACATACTTGTGCATGTAGAAGTTATAGGCTAGAATAGGTGTGTGTTCTTAGAGAGTGCAACCCAAACCCTATATCTCCCTTGTTCTCTCTCATTTCTAATTCATTCTAGTATTCTAACATGGTATCATGAGTAGGTTAGGTCCACTCACCCGCTTCCGCCCAGCGCCCTAGCCTACCGCGCCTCGCCGGCCCCTAGCGCGTCCCCCGGCCCCTCTCGCGCCTCGCGCCTAGTCGGCCCCTTCGCATCCAGCCGGCCCCTCTCGCGCCGTAGCCGGCCCCTCGCGCCGTAGGCAGCCCCTCGCGCCGTAGTCGGGCTCTCGCGCCCAGCCGGCCCCGCGCCGTAGCCGGCCCCTCGCGCCTAGTCGGCCCCTCCGCGCCCAGCCGGCCCCTCTCTCGCGCCCTAGCCGGCCCGTCGCGCTTAGCCGGCCCCTCTCGAGCCGCAGCCGGCCCCTTGCGCCCAGCCGGCTCCTCGCGCTTAGCCGGCCCCTCTCGCGCCTAGCCGGCCCCTCGCGCCGTAGCCGGAGCCTTGCGCCTAGTCGGCCCCTCCGCGCCCACCCGGCCCCTCTCGTGCCCTAGCCGGCCCCTCACGCCTAGCCGGCACCTCGCGCTTAGCCGGCCCCTCTCCCGCCGCAGCCTGCCCCTTGCGCTCAGCCGGCCCCTCTCGCGCCTAGCCGGCCCCTCGCGCCTATCTGGCCCCTTGCGCCTACCGGCCCCTCTCACCCAGCCGGCCCCTCGCGCCTAGCCGGCCCCTACCGCCTAGCCGGCCTCTCCTGCGCACCGCCGGCCTCACGCGCCTTGCCGGCCCCTCTCTACGCGCCGGCCCTTCCCGCGCCTGCCCGGCCTTTCGTGCGCCTGGCCGGCCCCTCGTGCGTCTCGGCCCTCTTGCGCCCTTCTCGACCGTCCGCCCGGTCTCCGTTCCGGAGAGTCCTGCCGCCACGCCGCTGCACCACCATGCACCTGAGTACCCGTGTCCCTGTGCCGCTGTGTCCCTTTGCCGCTGCGCCGCTGTGTCCCGGTGCCGCTGCGGGTGCGCGATGTCTGACGCCATGCTACGCCTGGACGCGGAGGGGCACGCGATCGACTTCGCCGCCTGGCTTGTCGATCTTCGCCGGCACCTGACAGGTCAGCGCCAGGATGGGCACTCCCTGGCTATGCATATTGATGGCTTGCTTCCCCGCACCCCCGCGCCTGATCCCCTCCCTGCTGACCCCACCGCTGTTGAGAGTGAGGCCTTTGCTGCTGCTGCGCTCGCTCGCACTCTCTGGGATTCCCGCGATGCTGTAGCGCAGTTTGCCATTAGTCATGCGCTTCCCCTCTCTGAGCGTCCCCGCTTCACTGATGTTGCAAACGCCAAAGACTTCCTAGATGTCGTAGTTGCACGCTACTCCACGCCTGCCTCCGCCTCAGCTGGACGCTTGATCCTCCCCATGCTCTTCCCCGATCTCTCTACTTTCCCTACTGTCGCTGATCTTGTCACTCACCTCTGTGCACTAGAGACTAGCTACCGCACTGCTAACACTACAGCCCAGCTCGCTGCCTTTCCCCTGCCGTTCTGCGCTATCCAGTACCTTATTGCCATGCACCTGCCTGGCCGCTTAGCCACTGCACGCGATCACCTCCTTAGCCAGCACCCTGGTGACCTCACCCTGACCGCCTTTGTCAATGCCCTTTCTGAGATAGAGACTCTCCAGCGCACTATCGCTCAGTCGAGCGGTGTTGCGGCAGTCCCTATCTTTCACAACTGCGCTCCCTCCCAGTGCACGTACACTGACATGTCCGCCGTGGTCGCTATGGCTGCTCCTGCCCCTGAGACGGCCTTCCCGCAGCATCAGCGACAGCGTCGAGGCCGTCGCGGCCCCAAGGGAGGGCCTGGTAGTGGTGCTGGAAATGGTGATGGTGGTGGTGTAAGTGGCAGTGACAGTGGCTCTGACGAGGGGGCTGGGGCAAGTGTCCAGGAGCAGCAGCAGCCAAAGCAGGCGTAGCAGCAGCAGTCGCTGCCACAGCAGCAGCCGCCGCCGCAGCCACAGCAGCAGCAGCAGTAGCAGCAGCCGTGGGCCCGCCTCCTGCCGGGGTGGCTAGGAGCACCTGGAGGTGGTGGCCGAGGTGGTGGTCCTCGCAGCTCGGCGTCTACCGGCGGCTTCGGTGCTGTGGGCTGCAAGTACCAGCTCCAGACCGGGCCCCTTCGTCGCACTGTGTGCCGCCGCCCGCACCCGACCGCCCGCTGCTTCCACCGCATCGACAACCTCCGCCGCCGCTTCGGCCCGGCCCCGGACCTCCCCGACTGGCCCAATTTGCTGCGCCACGGTGTGCCTGTTTTTGACTTAGACATGGATCAGATTAGTTCAGCCCTGCATTCTCTATATGCTGACGCTTCTAGTGTGTCTAGATATTATTACCCTATGTTCGCTAGCTTAGGCATGGCACCTGTGTGCAGTACAGACTCCCCTGCTGCGTCAGGCGTAGGACTGTTTGCTTTGTCTAGCCTAGGCTTCACACTTTCTGCTCCTTTGGCTATCGCTTTTGCTTCGCTGTCCTTCACAATTGACTCCGGTGCGTATGCCTGCTTCTTCCGTGACCACGCTGCGCTTACGCCGCTTACCGCGCCTGCCGCTATCGCACTTGCTGACCCCTCCTCTGGTCCTGTAGTTCCCTGTCCAGCAGTTCCCTCAGGCTCCTTTATAGGCCTCCACATCCCCTCGTTCTCCAGGAACTTAGTTGGTGTCGACTGTCTTCAGGACCTCGGCGTCACCACTAAGTTCCCGGGTCACGAGCGTTACGCCGTCTGTACCGAGGCCGCCTCAGGTTCTCCCCTTGCGACGTTCCCCTGGGACCCGGTGTCTGGCCTCTTTACGCTGGACACTACTCCCCCCCCAGTTGGACCATTCCCCCCGGATCCTGCGTCTACCCAGGTCGTCGCTGCGTGCTCGTGTCGGTCGCTCACTCCCCCATCGCTTATGTGGCACCACCGCCTAGGTCACCCCGCGCTCCCGCGTCTGTGTCACATGTCCCAGCACGGTCTCGTCCTAGGCCTCCCTGCGCCGTTTTCTGCCCTCCCTCCCTCGCCTGCGCCGCCGTGCACGCCTTGCGTCGAGGGCCGGCCCCGCCGTGCTCCTCACTCCTCCTTGCTTCGTCCTGCCACTGCACCCCTCCAGACCCTGCACCTGGACGTTTGGGGCCCAGCCCCCGTCCCTGGATCGCGTCGCGAGCGCTACTTTCTCGTCCTCGTCGACGACTTCACGCGCTACACCACGGTGTTTCCTTTGGAGTGGAAGGCCGACATGCCTGACGTTCTTATCCCGTGGGTCGTAGCGCGCCTCCACCGCGGTGTCCATGTGCTGTGTCTCCACTCTGACTGTGGCGGCGACTTCGCCTCTGGTCGGCTTGGACAGTTCTGTCGTGCGGAGAGCATCACCCAGTCGTACACCCTACCGGACTCCCCGCAGCAGAATGGGGGTCGCTGAGCGACGCATCAGCTTGGTCATGGAGGTGGCTCGTACCTCCATGATTCATGCAGGTGCACCCCATTTTCTGTGGCCGTTCGCCGTTCGCTACGCCGCTCACCAGCTTAACCTCTGGCCGCGCTCTCAACGGCCGCAGGTTTCGCCGACCCTTCTTTGGACCGGGGTTCCCTGGTGACGCATCTGCGTTCCACGTCTGGGGTTGCCTCGCTCACGTTCATGCCTCTGGCACGGACAAGCTCACTGCCCGCACTGTCCGCTGTGTCTTCCTCGGTTCCCCCCTGGACTCCTCTGACTGGCACTTTTACCACCCGCCGTCTCACCGCTTCTTTCACTCCCGTAACGCCACTTTCACCGAGTCTGTCTCCTTTTACCACCGCTTTCCCCACCAAGGTCTCCTAGTTTCCCCTCCCCTGTTTCTGGTCCCCACTCCCCCGTTAGCCCCTGCTCACCTTCCTCCCCATCCTGCTCCATCTGGTGTGTCTCACGTCACTCCCCTCCCGTCGGTTGTCCCGGTCGAGGAGTCGGTTGACTCTGGTGGCCCTGCGGCACAGTTCTTGCCGTCTGTCTCTCCCCCGGTGTCTCCTCCTCCGCCGTCGTAGTCACCGCCGCCGCCGTCGCAGCAAAAGCAGCCGTTTGTGGCCTCTGGGGGTGCTGGCGTTGAGGAGGATGCTAGTCCTGAGGTTTCTGTCGTGGCTTGTCCCGGCCAGCTCGGGGGTGGCACCGGTGCTGGAGAGTAATTGCTCTGAGAGTACTCGTTCTGGGGGTGCTGGAGTGGAGTGTTCTGGAGGTAGCCGCCGTGTAGCTGGCGGTCCAGGTGTCGGTGTCGAGCAGCAGCAGCACCAGCACCCTAAGAGCCCACTGTCAGCTGCTGCTTCTCTAGCTACGACCGCTGAGGACGCTGCGGCTATGGCCGCTGAGGCTGGTGCGGCGAGGTGGGAGGCTGTTGAGGTGCTTGGGGCACCAGGCTGGGGGGGAAGGTGCCGAAGGGCGGCAGGCGCACCCGCAACGAAAGGGACCCCTGACTCAGCAGACTCCCCCTCTGGCCCAACCGAGGGTAACGGGGTGGCGTATGAGACACTAGACGGGGACGGGCGGGGTGGGAGGTGCGCGGCAGGCAGTGTAGGGGCAAGGAAGAGAGGAGGAGGAGGGATACTAGAGCCACGGTGAGGGAAGCGAATGTAGTAGGGAACCGCCTCATGGAAGGTAACATCACGCTAGTGGTAGAAGCAGTGATGTACCGGGGGGTAGAACAGGCAGTCAGGGGCGTCAAGCGGAAACCCAAGGAAGACACAAGGGAGAGTGCGGGCTAAGAGCTTGTCTGCGCTACTGGCACGGACGTAAGCGAGGCTGCCCTAGAGGTGGAACGCAGAGGCGTTTCGAGGGGACCCGGTCTAGAGGAGGGTCGGCGAAATCAGTTGATGCAATAGGCGAAGCTACAAGTTAAGCTCGTGAGCTGTGTAGCGTACTACGAACGGCCAGAGAAAATGGGGTGCACGAGCATGGAACAGGGAGGTGAGAGCTACCTACATGACCAGGCCGATGCGTCGCTC